AGATTCTGAAACCTGGCAGGGTGACTGTGCCAGCCAGGGCATTTAACCACCATACCAGTTTGCTTCCCACTGTGACAGAATCTGCAGGGCTTAGGAGATGCATAAAGTGAAGCATGTGCCCTCAAGGATTTCACCATCTGAAAAGGGAATTCTGATGCACACTAAAATTCATAGGCTGACGAGGAAAATGGTATATTGTAGTCCCTGGAGTTAGGGAGAGGTGGACTGGAAGAGGAGCAATGGCTGGTTTTGCTAAGCTTCTATTTCACAACTACAGGCGGAATGAGATGCACCCTAACATCAGAAGAGAGAATGTGGTAAGACCACCAGGAGAAGAAACTCTGGCCAAAGAACAGAATGCATTTATTTAACATTCTGCACAGTTAGTATCCTTACCATCGTCTCCCAGTCTCATTTGAATTGAATGGTTATGTCTCACTAAATTTACCAAATTATCATGTCAACCAGCAAATCATGATTTTTGAAGAATTCAGAGATCAAACTTAATTCCTGATTCTCACTGAAAAATTGTGTACACATACAATTTTAACACACCATACACACATACACACACCCTCAATAATTTGGCTTCCAAAAAGATAAAGAAGTTGCAATCTTTTGGTAGTAATAAACTCATGTGAAGATTAAACTTTTTTGCAGAAATTTTTAAACAACTGAAAACAGAATGTTTTCTCTTTGAATTTTTGTTATCTAAACACAATGGGAAGGTGAGCAGGATCATTTTTTATCCACAATACATAAAATCTCAATTAGTTCTGGTCTATTTGTGCACTGACTAAAACCATTTGTTAACAAAACAGAATTTTCTAGTTTACTGGATAAATATACCAGAAAAAATTGCAGAATAAATGTCAGGTTGCCAAGCAACTGCTGCTCTACTCCCTCATTCATCAAGCTTCTTATCCCAGTGCTAGAGAATTTCAACCAATTTGTTTCTTGGGAAAATTATAGTGACTTTGGGTAACACAATAACACTTTTATTCTCAGCAGATAAACTTAGATGTTCTTTTGATCAAAGGGATGTGTTAATTCATTATTCTCTACATGGTGCTAATGAGAAAGCTATAATTAACTAACTACACTATTGCGACACACATAAAATAAACTGCAGTAATTAGTAATGTTTAAGGTGTTAACCAGCCTCCAAAATTAGAAAATACAGAATCTTTCCTCCAATAACAATATAGAGAAAGGAGAAAGCACCATATCTAATTAAATGGAGAATTGTTTCCATTCCCAGCCCTCCCCCCACCACTATCCCCTGATGGAGAGAGGCATGTGATCGCCAAAAGGTGAGAGATATCACTTTAATAGAAGAGAAAATGGCTCAATGCCAATCCTACTTGTAGGTAGGCATAAAATGCTGGTGAATAATGTAATCTTTTTCTTTGAAAGAATGTTTAGCATAATATTTTTCAGGAATGAATAGAAAGAATATAATGCTTTCACTCATTAGCTTTGTTAACTTAGCATATTGTATGTAAATCACCATAATAATTGCATTCTCTTCAGACTGAATTAGTTAGAATGAAGCTGTAATCAAAATGTTCATAATTGAAAATATACTATTCTCAGTCTCAGTTTGAAAAAAATAACAAGGAACACTGATTGAATCAGATAATACAGTACATCACTGAAAACAGTCTTAGTATGGAGACAAATTGGTCCTCTAGATTATACCTTTGCATGTCAGTTATCTCCCCAAATTCAAGACTCAACATTTCCAGATCCGTCATTTTTTTTTACTATAACCCTTTGTCTTCAGCCTAACTTAAGCTTTCCAGGTGCATGACTACTTAGATTTCCAGGGAAAATATAAAACAGTGCAAAGCTAAATTTTTGTTTCTAAAATGCACTAGACTCTATTGGCACTGCTGGCTCTCATAAATCAAAGGGCAAAATAATTTCCAATAAATGAAACATTTAATGCCAATGCTCCTGGGAAAGAATATGTAAATGATCACATGAATTTCAGGCAAGCTGTCACACTAATTCCTCAAGGTACCTTTTAAAGATGACATATTCACTGTGAAGAAGTGGGGTGGCTGGTTGTCATGCAAAAGTCAAACTTGAAGCAATAGTCTCCTATCTGAATGGATACTCAGAGGGCTTCCTGACACTCATTTGTTCAAATTTGATGCCATTAGCCCCATCTATTACTTAATTTTCTTTTATGAGATAAAAACTAGTAGAATCTTACATCAGTCTTAAATCATTAGACTTATTAACAGTTCTCCATAAAAATGAGTCGGGCTAAATTATTTCAACAAAGCAATTTTGGGTCAGATTCCTCTTTCAGAAGTTAACTGTAAAAATAAAGCTCCTATCCAGCAAATATTTTCCAAGCTATGGTCTATTTTGTAAAAGTAAGGAGCTTTGTGATGGTGACATGTGTCTGGTTTCACTTGCTTCAGATCCATCAAGACATGCCAATTTTTTAATAAGCAAATAATTTTTAAAATGAATTTAATTTAATGAGATGAATTACCTTAAAGGTAATAAATTCATTATGTGCAATATCAAATCCTGTCAGACCTGCGATTAGGTCCATAGAGAGTATAGTTTGCCCATCATCAGATAAGTGGGACCAAGAGTAGTAATAAACATCTGTAGCCTTTTCTTTAAAGGGAAGGGCCCAAAAGTATAGATGAAACAGAAAGCAATCTGGAATAACAGATTAGTCATCACAGTCCACACTTCCTCAGTGAAGTGAGTACAAACATGATGGAAAAGATTTTAATGAACTGCCCTAGCCAGTACTCACACCTGCCCAGAAATAACTATTTGTCTCCATTTATTCACTGACAATATTCAGGAGCTTGGGAGGAATGATTATACACTATGCTTTGCCATTAGTGGTGGTAAATCCATTGTAGCACTGAAGACCATAAGGTGGAAAGCCCAGTTATACACTAGACCCTGGAACAAAATTAAATCACGAAAGCTACAAGGTAGCCCATAACCAAGAGACTGAAATTAAGACAAAACCAACTGCAACATAAGCAGGTGAAAGAGGAAATATTCTTACACCCAAAGTCAAGCCCTTAAATACTTTTTTTCCCCTTGTCCCTAAAAGTTTCCCCAAATACTTTTTTAAGCTTCTTTCTTCATCAATATACTGGCAAGCCAACTTGACCAACAGCTTGTCAGTTTACATCTTCCAATCTATTGTAATCCAGAGCTTTCTAGGAGTTGCACTAGGCAGTAATATTAATATTAATTGATAGTCTCCAAAATCAGTATTTTGCCTTCAACACAAATGCAGAGAAATGAGAACACGCTATATCTAATTGAGGATTAACTAATAATAATAGTAACACTGTCAGCAACCATAACTTTTGTCTTTATTTTCCATCAGACACTGAGCTGAACTATCTACTTGGATTATCTCATTCCAGTCGCTCAGATACCCTAAAAGGAACGTACTCATATTATCCCTATTATCTAAAGGGGGTAACTGAGGCCCGGCACAGTTAAATGGCTCGTCCAAACTCACACGTTTCAGATATGTGGAGATAGAACTGAACCCACGTGAGCACAGCGAGAGGGACTTGGCTGAACCCAGGTGGCTCACCAGGTGCCCACATCCGCGCGCACGCGCAAATCCCCCCCCCCACGGGCGTCCCGTGAGCGTGCCATCGCGCACGCGCGTGCCCGGCCCCTGCTTGACGGCCCTGGGGGCTCCACGGTAACTCCCGCAGGCGGGGCTGAGACTCGGAGCCCCTCGCGTTGGTTTGAACCCGGCGTCTCCCTCCCTGCCACTCCGCCCTACTGTGCCACTACACACTAGCCTTCAGTCGCTCACCTCTCTCCCCTTCCCCTGCTCGCTTTCCCGCTGACAGCCAGACCAACCACCCGGCGCTTGCCCCGGGGCCCGGCTCCGGGCGTGGGTACCTGGACCAGCGCGGCTGCGGCTTCTTCAGCCCCCCGTTTTTCGCAGGAATTCCTGAACCCTGCCCCTGACTGAGAAAGTGAGGCTCGCAGCGAGCAAGAGGAGTGGGAATGAACGGGCTGGCGTTCCCCAACCTCCCAGCTCCAATCCCTGCTCTCCAAATTAATCACTTTCTCCCTGCTCCCTCCCCACGCACACTCTCACTCAAAAAGAAAAGAGAGAGAGAGAGAGAGAGAGAGAGAGAGAGAGAGAGAGAGAGAGAGAGAGAGAGAGAGAGAGAGAGAGAGAGGCACAAAGAGGAAGAATGGACCATCCGTGACTGGCATCTCTAGCTCCCCCAGCTAGGCTACCAGGGAGCCATGGCAACCACGCCCCTGGCCTGCCCTCTGGCCCCATCGGTGGTCCGGGGAGGTAAAGCTCCTAACCTTCCCGATTTTTTCGTACCCAAACCGGCAATCCACAGATCTCCCTCTTCAAGCTGGCGGCATGTATCGAACCCCCGGGATCTGGAATTCTCCCCTGGGAGTGGGAGCAAGACACGGGGACCGGGGTTCTGGAAGAGATCTGAGCCCTGGGACCCAAGAGGTGGTCTGTGTCAAGGAGGAGTGAAGCCAGGACTGACCCAAAACCCAGCTGGACCTCACACACCCACTCGAGAGAGGGCTGGAATCTCCAGGAGGGTCTGGAATCTCCTCCAAAGGATAGGGAGAAGTGCGGGTGAGGGGGGTTGGAGGAAAGACAAGAGGTCAACCTACCCGTGACCAGGCGGATAACATGGGAGCTGGAGGATTCGAGCACCCCGTTTACTCTGTCCGACTGACCGGAGACGAATTCAGCCTCAGCCACCAGGGGGCGGGGCTGGGAAAGGGGGGGTGTCTCCTCACGGTTAAGAGCTGAGGGACCTCTGACCATTCTACTCTGGGCACGGATGGAACCCAGATTGTGCGCCATCCCCAACCCACAGTGGGTTGACCCCCTTCCTCCCAGGAGCAACCCCTTAATCCTCGTTCCGTCTTGCTCAGAGTTGGGAGAGGCCCCAGGACTAACAAGAGAGACACGAATTGACACCCACTCACCCCTGACACACCTGAGTCGCTTCCTGTACCAGATCCGTTCGGTACCTTCCCTCGGGGAAACTTCCCCACGCAGGCTTGGAGCCGGAGAGGGACCTGCGGGGTGCCGCAGCTCCGGGTGGATCCACCGGAGTTTGCTGCCGGCCGCTCCCAGCTGGTCTGCACGCGGGTCTGCCCGCGGAGATGCCGCCGGGCCCCTCCCGCCGCTGCCAGTGGCCGCGAGAACGCGGGACCTGTTCTGGCTTGCTCTCGGATCCACGCCCTCCGGGCAGAGGCGGGCTCGCGCCTCTCTCGCCGTCGGTTCTGCTCAGCCACCCCTCACCCACGCCGCTTATTTTCCCTCCCTCTGCACACTCCCATGGGACTAGGAGAGTTACGGCTTAAGACTTTTATTTTAAGGTGAAAAAGGAAGGGAGGAAGCCCAGACTTTGCTCGCCATTTTCCACATCTATGGTTAAGGGAGGTAGGATCGCTGCCCCTTTTATCTGCAAAAGAGAAATTTTAAAGAAACCCCTCCCCTTCCCGATAGTTCCACTCAGTACATATTCTAGACGTGGGTCGCCAGTCTGGTTTCCTCCCAGTGCTGCATATTGGAGGGGTGTGGTGCCATGGACCTATTAAAAATATTTTTGCTTTCCTTCCTCATTTAGAGGCGTGATGGGGCTTGCAATTTAATTTACAAGTGATGCTACTGCCATAAGCTGCCAAATTATTGCATACATAAATTCAGGCACTTTCTTCTGTTAGCATTTAAAAAAAAAGTCCTAATACTTACGGTCTATAATTTTACCGTATTATTCCCTAACTTTTCTTCTTATTATGTATGAATTCAGTATTATAAAGTAGAAGAAAGCCCTGTGTACCTATTTTCACTGCAAAAAGCCATTTCTGATTATCAATTCCACCAAAAACTGCAAATTTTATTTTAGGATTCCAAAATTAATCTAGGGAAGCTAAGGATTTTGCAGTATAAGTAATTTATATGCCTCTTTCATTTTCCCCCCAACTATGATCCTTTTTTTCCAAAATTTCCACACAATACTACTTTAAAAAAAAATCCTGTTGAATTTAAGTGCTCTTTGATGGTAAGACAATCATTGACTTCTAATTTTTACTCTAGTAGGGCAGTGAGAGTGACCTTACAGTCTGGTTTTGTTCTCCTCTAGTGCATTGAACAATGAGGACATTTAGAGCTGTGAGCTACCCTCAGAGCTGGATGCCACTATAGTGAGCAGCAAGAGGGCAGGCAACTCAAGATTCTGCTTCAGAAGCAACTGAATAAAATATTTTGAAAATGAATAAATGGACTTTTAAATTTTAATAATTGCTAACCTTAGAGCCCCAATTCTGTCAGTTCATGTGTGGGCATGGTTCTTACTGACTGTGTTGCAAATTACAAATGCAAGTGAGGGCAGGATTTGTCCTGAGTTTAAATTGAACTGCTAGAGTAATTTCTTTGCCCAAGGCATCATTATTCATGTGGCATGTATTCTAAAGTGGAAACAAAGATAGAATATTGAATAAAATTCCAACAGGGAAAATACTGTGTCTGTAGGAAAACATTTCCAAGGTCAAGGAGACTCAAAGTCAAGTTGTGATCTCAGGGGTTTACCACCTTCTTGGGTAAACATCTGCTGAGCAAAAGACTCAGAACTCCATCCTGGCCAAATCAACAGAGCCCTCAAGCATTCTGTTCTTCTTCTCTCTGTAATGTGTTTGCTTGACATTTGGATCATTACTTTAAAAACAAATGTTTATTGAGCACCTACTGTTTAGAAGTCATTGTTCTAGGTGCTAGAGTAAGTACAGTAGACAACTCAACACGCAAGGCGAGGAGCTTCTTTTGAAATCAGATACCCAAAGATATATTAGAGAGCACCAAGGCATAAAACCAGAAACAAGAAGATGAAGTGTCAGTTCATAAATAAGGGTTTTTCCTGAAGAGAAATATACTTCTGAGCCTCTGACATTGCATATAAATGAAGAAATAGTCAAATAGTAAACTTGTGGCTTACCACGGACAGCCATTAAGTCAGCAAATACATAATAGACTTTACCCTAGGCAACTGCATTTTAAGAACGCAGTGAGGGGATAGAGGGATAAGGTAGGTAAGGAAAAATGAAGGAAGAAAAGGAGGGAGGGAGGGAGGCAAAAGATTCACCAAGAAGAAAAGAAAACAGTATTTGAAAGGAAGTCTTTTAACCAGCGAAAGGAAGTCTTTTTAAAGGAATGCAAAATGGAGACAGATGACTTAAACTTCCACATCCAAGAAACACCTCATAGCTGTTACCTCCAAGTATAAATTCATATTTTTAACATGTTCAAGGGAAGGCAACCAATCTAGGCTCCCATGCCCCCAAGAAATTTACAGCTCCACTGTGTCAGCTTCTAGGAAGACTGAAACCTGGGACCAGAAGGCAGCTTTCAGCCAGAGTGGATGTTTGCTGAAGATACCTTCTGCTGCTGCTTTGAAACCCTTTCTTGGCTTCCATTCTTCTGTCTGACACTTTATTCAGCCCGTTTCCCACTCAACAAAAAGTCCTAATCTATCAGGCATCACACCTTTACATGTGGGTGCTGGAGAAAGACTAGATTCTTATATCACGTGAAAATTTAATTGCATTAGCCTTGAAAGGTGTGAATTTCTCTCTCAAATTGAGAAAGGCCATGTAAAATACAAATTCAACTATCAAACCACAAATGAAGGGGAGAAAAAAAGATTCTTTCATGGATAGAAGCAGAAGGTGAGAGGGATTGGCCAGTCATCTGGAAAAAAGAGAAAAGGTATGAAAAGCCAGGGTATTTTTTAGCTTTTACTGCTGATTTACTACCTACCCCCGGCTTGAACCATCATTTGGTATCATTCCCAGAGTATGGCCATTGGAGGAATATTGCCTTTTGGCAAAGCTGAGTAGCTAGTGATATGGCATCATTCCTAGAAAAATTGTTTAGCAGAAGAGCTGTAGTTTTGGAAATGGCATTTCAGTCTAGCAGTTCAGAACAGTCACAGATCGACAGAGGTTTTTCTGGCCAACTGCTGTAATAAAGGAAAGCAGGATGTTCCACTGAGGGATAAACCCTCAAAGGCAACCTTGGCAGTACAAAGCAGCCACCTTCAGCTTAGACACTAATAAAGCTAAAGAGGACCATATTAACTCTGAGGAGTTAACATGACAGAGTCGATACTCCTTTAACTTGTCTTTTAATGTGAGAACAAAAGGACATGTATCAAAAATCAAAGGGTGATAATTCTGGAACAAACAAAAAAGGTGAAAACTTGCATTTCATGCTGTGGATCATTAATATATATGATTCAGTCTTAGGAGGTCATGGAACCAGACACTTTCACTGGATTTCAAAAGGGCTAGGTAATTTTATGGCTGTTAATAAACTTATACTTGCAAAGCTAAGGTAAGGCTTATATTTTATCACATCTCATGTCTTAAGGCATTTGTTGATTACTTGTGGAGATCAGAAAAATTTCCTGTCCTCCAATCAGAAATGCCCAACTCCCAATGAGCTTACTCTCCTATTAGTGATTTACTCCAAAGTCCTAGGCAACTGAGTCTAATCTCAAAGACTTGTGAACTGAGTTATAGGATGAATTCACATTGGTGTCCAATTGATTTAGGACAATAGATTTACCACTATCAGGAAGAAGGAAACATGTTGGAGAGAAAAGAGAGAACTAGTGGGTCTCCTTAACGTAAGAGCTTGTGACAGGATGTTGTTTGCTCCCCTTCCTCCCCGTGCCCCATCCCCCTCAAATCTGGTTTTGTTTTGTTTTTTTCTTTCCTCTTCCTGGGCACATGGCCACCTACCAAAAGACTATATTTCCCAGTTTCCTTTGTGACGAAGTTTGAACCCAAAGCTAGAGTCTCACCAAAGGGACATGAAGAAAAATGTAGTTGGCAACTTCTGGGTCATCTACTTAAAGATAATCTAGATACACTCCTTTTTTCCCTTCCAGCTAGCCCGCACTGGTAAAAGTCTTAGGTTGCGGATGGGTGAGGATGACTCATTAGCCTGAGTTCTTGGATGATTCTGGATCAGAACCCACTTACTACTATGAACTGACTCTCTCTCTTCTTTGAGCAAGTGTCTTTCAGGGTCTCTATTATAACTGTTTAGCCTTTCTCCTAACCTAACTAATAAAATGGTGATCTCTCTCATCTAAACAATTTCAGAATAATAAAGGGAAATAAGAATGGAGGCTACATTGGATAGCTGCTTTTTTTTTTTTTGTTTGCCCAGAGTTTATCTGCATTCATCAGTTAACCAACCCTAGGGAATAACATCCCCAGTGTTTAGATGGCTGAGTTGATGCTACAGCCACAGCTTCCTATCTACCTCTGGTCCAGGTGACACAGGCATGATCAACCAATATTTTCTATTCCTCTGTCGATGGTGTTTGAAGCAATGAAAGCTATCAGACTTAAAAGGCATTGATGAGAGAACTACCATGGACTTATGCTTTAGTGATTGGGATAAACACTGAGGATGACTCAGCAGGCATGATGTAAGCTAGAAGAAGCTGGCTGCTTCTTATCAACACTTAGAAAGAGGATGCCTGAGAATGAAGGCACCACAGGAAAAAGAAGAGAGACAGATACTTGACATTCTTATTTGAAGACCTAGGTCCATTGAAAGTCCATTGCTTACTGAAAGTTGAAACTGGCATACACCTTGAGTCTGTAGCTAGGTGAGTGGAAAAAAATTTTACATAAAATAGTTTGCATTAGTTACTGGTTTCTTGTGCTTAAAATCATTTTGTATTCATTATAAATGCCTAAGTAAGGTTATTCTCTTGGGATAGGTTGTCAGTAAAAGGAATGTGCGTGGCAAAAAAGTCTTCCTTTCATGAGATCACACGTCTGATTGGTAGTGACTCTGAAATACTGTGTCAAAAGGATTCCAACCTGGTATCTGAGTTCAACAGGAAAGGACAAAATGATCTATTAGTGATGCCTGTCATTGATATTGTATAAGAAATGATTCTCATGTGCTGTAAGTATTTGTCATCCTCATTTTAAGGCATTCTTAAAGTCTGACATAGATCTAGACATGTGGTGACTTTATTTATTTATTTTTAAATTATGGTACATTCTTTGGAGGCATATTTTTAGTTGT